ATTAGAAATTTCTAATGAATTGGGCATTGACTCGTTATTTGTTATTAGTTTATACAAATTAACAAATCGTCATCTTACCTATTTCGTCATATCTTACTCTCTTTTCCTCTATCTGTGTATCTTCGGCGTATCGCGATATTAATCTCTCACCACGAGCGACCTCCTATTTCGCGTAATTTAACTGGATAATTTATCGGACAAAAGTGCGGCGCGGCTTCGGCTGCGCGCGAACCGTTTCGACGTTATTCATATTTTATGAAGGACCACTTGTCTCGCGATTCAATTGAATCTTCTTCACGGCGAAAATTGTGGCCTTCGAGAATATGAAGCGTGAACTCAGCCGGCGCTTCTCTCGTTGGATGAGCACCCGCTATAATCCCTCAACATAAGGCCATCGACATGATTTAATGTGACTGCATCTTATTAAAGCATGCATCAAGAGTTATCTTAACGGACGTAAGAGCGCGAGGTACAACGAACAACGTGGAATTGTCGAGTTCTTCCCACGTACCGGGATAAATTCGAATTATCAAGGCGTTATCGTCTAGTGGAAGAAACGTGCGCTACGCGCAAAGGTAATGCAATTTGTTACCGATCTCGAACGCAGAGTGAAACATTGTTCTCCGGGAATGAAAGGCGGCAGAGACGTAAGCTGTATAAAAACTCGTTAACAAATTGTTTAACGAAGCGCGCGCGTGTCACGTTTCGTCAAATATCGATCAACGTCTGGGACTCGTTAGCGGACTTTATAATAGATTACTTCGTGAAAACGAGTCTCTCTCTCTCTCTCTCTTTGTAAAAAGGCTCCGGATGAAAAGGTGTACCTACTACAAAGAGCGCTATCGACCTTCCGGCGTTACAGTTCGGCAAAAGTGACACGAATTCATTGTGTACCATCAGATGTCAACGAGGTATGTCAACAAATTCCGCTGTGTCGAGCGCGAGATAGCCGAGTGACTCTGTTTCGCTCTGAATATCAACGGCGCATCCGCGTAATTCCCCCGATTCGCGAAGAATCGCGAGAGCGAATTAAAATTACACGACTACGTACGCGGCAGTAAAAATTTACCGTTTCGCCGAGGGCGCCGCTCGCGAGTTTGCGATATGAATCTCGCTGAAAAGAGTTATTTGATATTCAGGCACTCGAAAGTCCAATATACCCACGCGGACTACTGTTGTGCACGTCGGAAAAATCGCGAATTGTATACTTTGCGATAGTGTTGCGACTTTGCGATACTGCTCGCGCGACTTTGACTGTAAAAGGGAAATGCTGCACAATAGTTCTCTCGCGGACTTGCCACTTGCATATATTGAAGAGTTTATTCATATCCGGCATTTCGTTCAGCTTCAAATGAACGTGCGGGAAGACATGATTCTGTCTGTCAGGTCGTTTTGAGCCAGTTTACGGCGAAACATACGACGTCGCATTTAGATTAGAAATTGCGTCTATTTGCGACGGGAAACGCGCATGACAAATGCAACGTATACCGCGCCCCTTCTATTTTCGCGTAATAATCATAACGAACGTAAATTTGAAAAGCAGTCACTTGATTACAGCGTAGTGCTTAATTAATTATTCTTAACGTCCTCAAATGGACGGCTGTTTTAATCATTTTTAGTCAGTCTCTGCAGATTAAAAACAGCGTGATATTTTAATAATCCGTCCCCCTCTCTTCAATTTTCATAAAGAGATATCCAACTTTCAACAACGTATTTTAATTTTGCAATCCTAAAAAATGTATGAGAACCGTTATTAGTAAAATTGATTGACAAAATATATAATCTCCGTGTCTTGCTTGACACTTGACTGATTATTTTCACTAACCCAGCAAACTGGTGCGTTGCATGAGATTATTACGTCTGATCTAACAACTCGACTCAGCGAGCTCGAAATAGAATCCAGAAATGAGTAATAAAAAAACATCCGTGTAGCCCACTTTCTAGATTACTGCGTCATAAAGACTTCAATTTAGAGCGAGTGTAAGCTACAGATGAACCTCCGGAAATGCTTATACGATCGATACCAGATGTAAGCAACAGGAAAAGCGAGAAAATTTAGGATCTGATACAATCACCCTCGACATTTCTTGCTGGGCAAAAAGCATCGGGCAAGATCTTAGATCTGAATTTAAAGTTATATCAAAATATCGTGAGGAAAATAAATTTACAATTAATAGAAAATAACAAAAATATCCTAATATGCACAGATTTACGTTTTAATTCACTGCTATCTGCGGTTTTCTTGCTAGAAATACACAATATTTAATATTTAATATCCGAAATGTAATACTTCCAAAAACACTCAGTGAGATGACTTAATAATAGCAGGTGAATCTCATTAGCTAATTTGAACCTTGTTATCTTTGCTAAAAATTGTCTTTAAGAGGTAAAATGTGTTTGCTATGAGGAACAACTTTATCAGCTGAAATGATTAGCATGAAAATATTTGCAATTTTGTTAATATTTTTCGCTGTAGCACCTAAATTCAAATTTAGCTGCGGTAGCAACGACATTGGCTCTCCCAGTTTCAAGGACAGAATTTAGATGCAGCGAGCTTTTTGCTCCTGTGGCTAATTCTTCTCCCGAGTGTACATTTCGGTAATCCATATTGCAGATAATTTAATATCAAGAAACTTTTCCGCAACTATTCGACTTAATTAGAATATTAAAGAAAACTTTTCCTCAAATCCTCATCTTTCATCAGGTACCACTCTCCGATTGCATGTTCCAAAAAAACGAACGAGAACAGTAGAAATAAAAAAAAGTAGAAAATGAGATTTTACAGCTAAAAATATTTGATTCAAATGATTTTTTAATTTTTTGGTACTTTCCTGCCGTTTAGATGAACCCAAAAAGAATATCCGTGATCTCTATCTCGGCGTTTCGCTCACGTAATGTTCATAGCGATGGTGGGGTATATAACAAAAGCTTATTCCGCAAGCTACGAAACGTTGAATGCACGTGGATGTAGGTTCCATCATTAACAACTCGATAATTAATTTTTGCCGTATGGTTACCCTTAAAAACGGTATTTGTGCGCAGGTATACTTAATGTTGCGCCAAATAAGCACACATTTGAGCATGCAAATGCTTCCAGTATACACGATACAGGTGCGTTTGTAGATGCGTGCGTGCGTACATGTACACGAACGACTACACAATAAAGCACACGATGACCTAAAGGTATTTAATCGGTGTTAGCAGGTACCTGATTTATAGTGTCCTAAGAACAAGGCGCGTACTCGATAACTAGGAGTCATTTAACTTTCATAGGAATTGTAGAAAGTTAGAAAACTCCTCGGTCGGAAAATCGATATGGCGGCGGTTTAACATTTCAAGCCATGCAATACTTATCGGTTTACTTCCACCGCGTGAAAAGACAAAGACTTATCGGATCGAACGTGCCGTGAGCAGAAATGGGTGTAGTAGAGGTTTCGAATGTCGTGATCGAATTTCTCATTATGGGAAAGCATACGTGACAGAGGGAAAAATTTCTCTCTCACATTCTCTTAGATTGAGATTTTATCGATTAATTAGTTGTAATTGTTGAGAGTGCTTCGACGAGATAGAGGAAAAGCACCAAAACTTCGTCTATTGCGTACAAAACTTGACATAGGTGTGGAAAGTCGATATATCTATGTTTCCCGGCTGTAAAATATCGAACTTTGTCGATCAGTATATAAACTTTGTCTTTCGCGTTCAGTAATGGAGCTAAAGGAGTAGTTTGAAAGTGTGTTTGGTTATGTTATTAGCGTTAGTTGATTTTTCGATATGCTGAAGTTTTTCTCGAGTTATTTTCTAGTAAATTTTTGAGTAACAAATCAATGTGAAGCAATTTATTTAACAATAGTATTTTATAATATAAGTTTTGAATTTTTCAAATCACTTCCGACCTTGTGCCAATCTTTATCCTCTGCTATTAAACCACACAAGAAAAATTAGGGTTAGATTATTAAATTTTAAGTTTAAGTTTAAGTATTTCGGTCTACAGAACACCCTATAAATTAGGGTGTTCTGTAGACCGAAATACTTAAACTCACTGGTCTCTTAACCGACATACCTCACATATCTACATATAACATGCCACACGAACTCGAGGTGATATTTCAGCCTCTCGATTAAGGATAAGGCTAAAAGCGTATTTTGATAATCGTCTTTTAATATCGCCCCAATACTGTCTCAATACGACCGTCATGAGTAAACGACATTTGCACGTTGAGTATAAAAGACGATAGAATTTTATCTTTTTTACGCTTTTTTTTTTTACACGGAACACAAATATAAACGCTATCGATTTGCACGAGACGAAACGCTGAAAATATCGGCATACCCACGCTGCAGCCGCGGTTTCGTTATTTACGGCGTACAAACGCTGAACGGCAGATTAAGTGTTGACATTTGTGACATTTTGCACAGCGATCGATTCGCGTATAACTTTAAGCGAGAGAACTGGGTATTTCCATAAATACGTTATTTATGACGAGATATCGTAGATGCAATTTTTTGCAAGAGCGTTCTCGTTACTTTCTTAAACGTCAAAGCGAAACGGATGGTTTTCTAACAAGGCAACCGAGCGCTATCTTCGTGTATAAGAGAATATGCGATGTACATTCTTGTTAAGAGATTCCGTAATGCAAAGTAAAGGTTATTCCGTCAAAGAGTTTATTTAAAGAATGCATTTATTCGGAGACGGACAATAACAAAGGAAAAGAATGTGCTATTTCACCGCGTGCATATACTTAAACAATATGTACAGCAAGATTACCTATAAAAACAAAGATTACGATTATGTGTATCAAATATTATACATCATGTTATACAAGAAAAAGAGAGAGAGAAAGAGAAGGGTAGGTAGAGGAAGGGAGGGAGGGAGAGAGGGAAACCGCTGGAATAAAATTCCGAAAATTCATGCGGCATTTAAAGCGACGAAAGCCGACTGGAAATGGAAGCTCGGCGGAACGGAACAATTTTCAATATGAATGTATTTATGTATGTTGTAGTGCAACCGTCGTACATACGTGTCATCAATACAAATTCAAAGAACACTCTGAGCACCGGTACCACTTTAGGACCTATAAACGAGGGTTCAACGATATCCTTGAATTGCGAGAGCGGCGAAGGCAAACCTTTACCCACGGTCGGGTGGTTTAAAGGTGACCAACCACTCGAAGGTAAGATTTGCAATGTATCGTGACCTGATTGAAAGCGATAGGACGATGTATCGAGCCAGTTTGTATCGTTATGCGTGTCTATGAGGAAACTTGCAATAAGATACCAGAAATAGAGTTTGCCACATTAATCAACACGTTTGTCGGCAATTTGTTACCATTCTGTTAGCAACATGCATGGCATTTCACAATTATTTTTACGACAAACGTACCTAAGCCGAATACTTATGCATTTATGAATCGACTTGATTTGTCAATATTCCCGGTTATATAAAATATTAGATACGCTCTGACTTGGAAAGCATTCCTTTCCTTTCTTATTAAAATAATATCTTGCCTTTTCATAATCAAAATTTGCAATTCTGCCTTGGCGAAAACAACAAATGGTATTAATTAATACTCTGCGAGACACAAATAATCGTTGAATATACAAGCATAACGTACTTCAATATGCTTTGTTGCTCGCAAGCTTCTGCAAACAAAACTTTATTTCATACATAATATTCTAGTTGAAGATAAATGGACGCCGCAAATGCATAATTTTATTTCCACGCTACGGTGGGATTGCGGCGCGAATTAAAATGTAGGAAAGATCGTTACCACTAAACCATTATTCAAACGCGGCTGCTGAAAGGCAAGAGAATACTTCACACGTTCTTCATTAATCAAGTAGTAGATGATGATACCGACATTATTAAGAGAATTTCTTAATTTTCATTTAGTTAAAAATGTATTAATTTTACATGAGTCTTGTGCGAAATGACATTTAACGCTTTCGCAATCCTTCGCTATATAAATATGTATATATAAGGTGACCCATTTGAATCGAGCATTTTAAATATTTCACTTGTTTTTAATAATATGCAAAGATATCTTAAAGAAAAAGTTGCATCGTTGGAGAGGGCACTTATGATAGCAAAACCGTTTTTTTAATGTCATCTTTTTCATAAATGTTTGACTTTTCACTTTTCTTCAAGCATACGTAATTTTCTATATTTAAAATCATTTAAAGGTCATGTTATCGTAGATTACTGAATTCTTCTCGATGTTGGCTATACAATCGTGCAAATAAAAACATGTAATTCTATTTTTTTTAATTATCTTAACTCTCAAATCTCTGATAAAAATGACCTCAAGTAAAGTGTTCTGTCATTATAATTGTCCTCTGGAGCGATATAACTTTTTCCTAGACATTTTCTCGTATAATCAAAAATAAGTAAAATATTTAAAATTCTCGATTTAAGTGGACCGCCCTGCAAATATGCATGTATTTTGATATATGCTGCGTTTTAAACTTACGCAACGCTTTTTAAAACGCGTAACTAGGATCGTGTGTTCAACATGTGTACATGTCGAGAAATATAAACTGTTTCATTACAGCGACGAACTCGTCGACCATCGCTGATACTGGAATAGGCACTGCCAGTAGTTTGCTAGAGATGCAAATTACACGGAAAGAGTTAGGCGCAACGTTCACATGTAAAGTCAACAGTATTGCTCTCGTGGAACCACTCACGGTTGATATTAAACCAGATGTACATGGTGAGTACACACAACCTTTTCAAGAATAACGCATGGCAAGATATCTCTCTCTCACACCGTGAAATAACGTCCATACGCAATATTATATTCGAAATTTTTATGTGATTCGTATGTGCGATCATTATTTATTAATTTTTATAAACTTTCACATGTATGGAAAAAGTACATATATTACTATACTTTATCGAATTTTTACTATACTAAAGTATAATAGTTTTTAATGTTAAAATATAGTTTTATTATAAAAATTTAATCTAGTAAACTATAGTAATTTGATATTTAATATATGGTAAACCATATTAAATTTTCAACAATTTCGACCAGTCATATTTATTTAAGTTATTATTTTCGTTAGAAAATGGTCACTTAACTGACAACTTATGCGTCAGCTTTTTTCGTTATTGACATAAATCTGCTCCACTTTCTAATAAGAAAATTCTGAATATATCAAGATATGTATATCAGCGCAAAAATTAAGATACACACCTGCATATCTTCGGAGACCTCTAGCTAGTGACGAGTTGCTGTGCAAAAAATCTACGTAATCTACGGCTATCTACGGAACTATTATCGAATGTGATATTGATTATCGATAGAAAATTATATGCGTTCTAATCATAATTTCCGCCTCACAATTTCAATTACAAAGAATAATTTATGCGCAATATACACAATTCGATACAAACACAATATGAACATAATAATATGATGGACGAATGTGGGTACTTTGATCTAAATTTACAACAATTCTGACGGATATCGTTTATTTATTAAATCAAAACACGGGTACATCAGGTAAACTCACCGTCAGAGTATGAATTTGAATAGTGCCACGATCAAAACATTATATCAATGTAACGGAAACGAGGAGAATTTTTGTGCCAAGTGTATTTGCCGTAGAATATAAAGTAGCTTAAGTTTCGAAGTCAATTAACGTTTCCTACCAAGGTCTCGAGCGAGTTATGTAACTCGAAAGATTAAAGAGTTTCGGGCGAATCATGCTTCAGAAGTGTGAATAGAAAACGAAATTTTGTTCCTCAGTTATAAGTGGATTTTAATTTAATGGTGATTGAGAACACTCGATTGCCGAGTTACTTGTTGCAAAATGAACGTTCGAGAACGTTAATATGTGGCAAACATTTATTCAATTTAAAATAAACTGCAAAAATATGCTTTATAAATTTTCACAAATACAAAAGTTATTTTTGAACGAAAGTTTCAATTCGCTCTCGTAAATATTAAATATCACGTTCGGTATTTAAAACTGTATCAAATTACATAAAAATATATCTAGCCGTACACGTGATTTTAGGTCTCAACAATGTAGAATTATGACGATAATAAATTCTGATACTTAATGAAAATTGAAAATTGAAAATGAAAATGAATAATAAATAATTATATAATTCATCTACATATACACACTACTAACGTATTAAGCGATAGTCTTAAGTTTTCAATAATTAAATACATACGCCGTATGTACATACAGGATATGACACTTCCCATTTCCCCAAACATTTCCGGCGAAGCATGTTATATTGCATGGTAACCTAAATTCATTACTACGATCTACGTATGTCTGTGTGAAATTAATTTAATATACGTATATTACATTTATGTATTATAAAATGGGATGGTATACCACGCCCGCGAACGTGCGTGCACTATTAAACGTTCTCGGAACACGGAATTCAGACATGTCAAGCGACCATTTCATCCTGCAGAACGTAATAGTGTACTTAAAGAGGAGGTTTTGTTCTAATGTTACTCGTACATTCAGCGCGAGATATTGCGATATTATTCGACTTAGAGTTATTTCGCAGTTTCGCGAGCTCTTTAGCTCGCGGTTCGTCGCCGGATTAACTCCGTAAGAAGCAGCTTGATAAAGGGAGGAAAAAAATGCGCGTCATACAGCATACGACTATCCATATTTTATCGCACAATAACGTAATTCTGTCGATCCACGGACACGAAGTTCGGAATTCGCTTTGAAAGATGGCTTCGCGCTTAAATGCGAAATTCGCGCAAAGAGGTATGTGAGTGCAGACTTCGTGCTTTTGAAGAGGTTCGTGTAAAGCGAGAGTACACGAAATTCGATTTGATGCGGGAAAGTGGTTTACATCTCGGATTTGAATTCCTGCACGCGAACAGAACCGTGTACCAGTCATAAACCACTCTTCCGACGAATTTTTACGGAAAACCGGCAGAACATATTTCTAAACTTACCGGTAGAATTTTATATGGGTGTATCTCCGGTGTCTTTTACATACACACACACACACACACACACACACACACTTCAGATCAAACTGATTCAGATTGTAACTATACCGTGGAATACGTGTAACGTATAATACAGCCCGTGTAATTTCACCGCGTGTTCATTATCGCCGCGGTAATGTAGAGTTTCCGAAGTACGTTTTTTTCGTACGCGTTAAACAGGCTGAAATAAGGTGAAGGCGTCGGCGAATCGATTATTCAACGCACAATTTCTCAAACTCTTACCGGAAAGATGGGGACGAAAAAAAAAGGGAAACTTGTATAGGAGTATGTAAAATACTCTCTTGTGCATTTCTTACACGAGCCGGGCGGCCAAAGTTTTACATTGAGCCGTCTTGTGAAATGTCGAACTAATGTTTATAAATGAAACAAAATATGCATCGTATGCATTGTTAATTACTTGGCCAGAAAACACACTTAATTTAATTGCATAAATTACATTGCGCATTACGTCGAATTATCGCAACGTACGACCGTCGCGCCCCGATATATCGGAGATATTTTTAATGGAATTCCCCTATTAACTCTACGCCCACCGCGTATATGTAATTTAGAAAATACTCTCTGCTTCGCGGAGATATGCCGTTTTCGTATAAATGGCGAGCGGTTTTAATAACCCGCTCACTGCCGTTGCATTTAAAACTGCGGCGGGCCATATATTACTCAAGATTACTAAACGATGTATCCGCGCCAGACTACGAGCCCCTCTATAATTTTAACGACGTACAAGCAAGCTACACCGTCTAAGTAAGAAAAACGCGATTTTTTCCTCATCTCCTGTAACGCCACCATTGCTGGAACGAGGCTAAAATATTCAGGAATTTAATCGTTTCTTTACCACCCGCGTGCATCGCCATGCACGAATTCGCCGAGCAAAGTGCACGTTATTACGGTGGTACTTGTAATTATAGTACCGGGTTGTAGTATCCGTTAGTTAAGCGCACAATTGCGGATCCGCCTGCGCGTATACGAAATTTTGCATGTTGTAAATAATTAAATGTCCATCACTTTCGCGGAGAGAGCTTTCCTCGCGCGTACGCGCGGATGCGTAAGATCGTTGATAAATTTACGAAATTAACGTACGTTATGTCGCCTCCCTTTCTATCCCACCCTATCTCAATCTTTCTCTCTCTCTCTCTCTCTCTCTCTCTGTTTTTGCCTGCCGCCGTTGAGATTAGAAGTTTATTAACAGTGGTCAATCATCGCGCGTGTCGTATCACCGCATAATATCATTGCAATATCATTGTACAAATATGCGATTACGCTTGATTCTCGGCGTATCGATGAAACGAACGTTATTAACTTTCAAGTCGAGATTAATTTCCTTGCTATCGCGTGGATGTACGTCGGTTAATAAATTTGCTAAATTATCGCCGTTAATACTCTCATAAATGAATCACATATATTTATTTATACTCAGGCTTAATTATACTTAATTGATGTGACATCGTAATATTACCAAAGAGGAAATTAATATCTTATGAACTGTGACTTTTAATGTTCGTGCTATAATCCATCCGTATACATGTATAGGACCGAATAAAGCGTGAGTCGTTATTTCCACCCCTCGACAATTACGACTAGATTCCAGTGATATAAGCATCGTGGTAAAACTGATGTCGTGCTATTAGTAATAAATAATGAATCGCGCAATAACTGATGTGATCAGATCGCGAGAAAATGTCGTTTTGTCAGCCTCGTTACTCGTTGTCATGATTAAAAAGGAAACACAACGGCATGTATGATTACTGGACGTTGAAAGGCATTGAACTGAGGAAGTGTTGCGTGCTCTTTCCGACACCACTTCGAAATATAATTTTAATAAAAGTTAATGATATACTATTTACTTGTAGAAAAATAGAACGATACCGAAACAACTTCGCAAGACCTCGATCTTCCGTCGTGATAAAGCCGTGAATTATGGGTCATACGTTAATCGTACGCCACATGCAATACCTAACAGCGGCGGATTTTCCGTAAATCTATTTTTATTTTTCCGAAGAAGATGAAAAGACCGTTACGCAGGTGTTGCCGAACTGTTTTCCAATATAGTATTTCACCAACTACGCGCACACATATAGTCACGTATTTTTCGGTTCCCATTTCAGCGAATGTTACCACGTTGCTCGTTGAAAATCTCGTTACTGCTATTAACGATACTTCTGCGTTACGAATGTGTCATAAAACACGATATCGTCTAATGCTTTTGCTAACGCGTCGACAAGAATCGCTTCAATCTCGCGTCGTGAAAAATGGCTTGTCGCGATAAAAACTAGATAGGTGATAGGATACACAACACTGGAATGAAAAAAAGAAAAAAAAAAGAAAATAAAAAGGAATAACAGTCGCAACGTCAAATTTCAAACGCGAAGAACAATTTGGAATTCCTCGGTGAGCGCGAGCGCGTGGTCAGTTCGATATGAAAAGTATAAATATAAACTTCCGGTGAACCGTACTTAACGACCAGCGGTGAATTTAAAGTGGAAATGTCGCGAATGCCCGTGGGATATCTGCGAAAATCTCACGGCCCTGCAGCTGCTCGTTGAAAGTCGCGGAAGCAAGGTTGCGGAGTGACGAGAACTCGCGAGCAGGCACCTGACGGAGTTTTCAGGCGGTACGCTTCTTATAGGCAAACAAAACCAGGAAATCGCATTGCCATCGGCTACAGACTTAAAAAGTCTCGCGGTCGGCTTACCGGGTTGCGAACTCCTAGGAATTTTCGGTCGAAGAGGGAAGTGAGTGAATGGTGAATTTCGAGAAATAAAAGCGTTCATTCTCTCTCATTTTTAAACGGCTAATCTCCGAAATGTGTTTTGTATGTGTGTGTGTGTGTGTGTGTGAGCGCGCGAGTATGCATCCGTACCGTCGTTGGAAAATATCCTGCGCCTTCCGAGTTTTAAAGCTATCCCGAAAAAGGGCAATTAGCGTTCTGTAAAAACCTCCCGCGCAACTAAGAACATCTCTAACTCCTCTTTTATACCATTGTCGTATCTCCACGATATTGTTATAACTCAGAGAGTTCACGTACTCTGCCGTTAGTTGCGAATGTTACTCAAACAGATATTAAGCTTCAGAGGATTGTTAAAGATAAAACTGTTAAAGATCCATCAAATTTTTACTGCTTCATTTGCCCCGTTATCGTTGACCTTATCTTATGCTATATAACGCTATATAACGCTATGCTATATAATTATCTTATGCTGTATAACGCGTACGCAAATTAAAACATCCAATCTGTATTGCTCTGGCAGCTTAAGCCAACTAACTGCGAATTAACTGTTAAATAAAGCAATTAGTAATAATAATAATAATAATAATAATAGTAACTTTTCTGGTCGCTACAAGCAAAAAAGGCAGGAATAATAATACAAAATATGATTAATAGAAATGCGGACCAAATGGTGAAGCTACAGCAATGAAGCTGGTATAACTGCCGAATAGTAAATTCATCAGTCAGATTAATTAATGATCGCTCTATTGGCCGCAATGACGAATTATTTACAACAATAACCCTTTCTCTCTCTCTCTCTCTCTCTTGCCGAACGCTAAACGAGAAGACGATTCACTGGCGAATTTCCGCGGAAACGTCAAGTTATACCATCACACGCCGAACAATGCGTCGACGTCACACCTTTGAAAAGCATTGTTAGGTGCGATAAAACACGTCCGATAATGCAATCCGCTGCGATCCGTATGGATTAAAAGTAAACGTCGGCGAACAGATTTGTTCCAGGATCAAAAGCGTCAGCACATTTCCCGACGAAAAAACTATTTACGCGAAGGAGATGCGACTTTTTACCTTTTTCTCCGCACCTCTGTCACCGTTCCCTTTTCCTCCACGCCATTCTTCCTCCCGTTTACTCCGCATCCACCAGCGCCATCAGGTAGGGAAGTGCAGTCGGAGCAATTGAAGGCAAATGCAATTCCCGATATTAGATTCGCCATTCGCTCTCTATTCCAACTCCGCGCCCTTTCTTTTCGTATTCTTCTTGTATTGAGTACCGCTCACCGAGTTTTGCCGGTGAATTATCGGCCGATGTTTTCTGAACGTCTCCGCGAGGACCATCAACGAGCAGCCCGTTGAAACATAAAACAGTTGCGTATATTGAGGAACATCGATTCTTAAGAGAAAGCGCGATTTTAAATTGAAAAAAATGTAAATCCAAATCGATTCTTTTTTATAAAGCAGAGAAATTTCCATATTTGGGGGGGGGGGGGAAAGTACGCAGAAACGTCTGCTTTCGATGTGAGCTTGGCGAAACGTGTTTCGTCCGCGGAAATGTTCGCGATCAAAAGCCTTTGGCGTATGAGCTGACATGTGATGTACGCGATTAATTCGATAATACTTGTAAAATTGTCCGACTGGGGAACCAGATCTCTCCGTGGAGTGTTTTAACGAGGAATCTAGCTAAATTTCTGATAATGTCCGCGCAAAAATTCGGAGGTACGTGTAATAGCTCGGGGGAAACTCGATCGTGAATCTCACGGTACACGGTGATGTACGTGACGGCCCGTTACCCGAAATCCATCGGCGCTAATGGATATATCTACGTGTGCATCCACGGATATACCTTTACCGTTTAACACGCTCCTATAGGCCGTTTTTATCGTAGGGCTTATGTCCCCGTAGAGGAACTTCCGGATCGATTTAACGATACGGGCGCGCTCGCGCGCGCGTGCGAAATGACAGTTTTCGAATATTCCATTAACCGTGAATTTCAGAACAAGGCCGGCGCGGTATAAGCATTGAAAAGTTGTCGATCCGCGCCATCGACATCTCTGCTACAATATCGATATACACGGTGTCCCGAGAATTGTCCGTATATACGAGTAAACAATCGCGCATTGTTGTTATAGTTATTAATATTATTACGGCGCGGAATAACACCTGCGGTATTTGCTTTGGTATAATAACTACATTTTCACGCAACTATTAAAACCGGTTTTGAATTGAGGTATATATCTACTGAAAATCCCGCTCAAACAACACGATCGTAATTTCCAACGTGCGTGCGAGATTTCACGTAGCAACAGCGACGTAACAACATTCATCCTCGCGAAGCGATTCCCGTGCAAGGATTTTGCGCACGTAAATAGAGATTCGCCCTCGTATCTCGGTGTACAGCCGTACTTTCGAGTCGGCCGTGCTCGCGTTTGCGGGTGCCATAACTCCGTCCCACGTCAGAAAACGTCAGGAGCGATATGAAACTGTCGACATTGACATTTCGCGCATCTCGCGCGTACATTCGATCGTGCCTCGGTTTCACCTCCCGGATTACGCGTACCAAACCCTAATGTCGGCGCGGCGCCACGGGAAACCCAGATACCGCGCAATCATCATTACATGACGTCTGCGACTGCCTACGGGCGGCTCTATTCTGTGTACGCGGTTGGCACACAGAAATGGCAGCGCGTCTAGACAGACGGTTACGGAAATCGCCGAATGTGACGTGCGAACTTGGTGGCTTTACTGCGGCGCACAAAGGGCTGCCATAAACGCTCTGGGATACGATCGCCGGTGTTCAAAAATCACGGCCGTTTACGCTGCAAAGTGGCGTTTGCGGCTCGGCAGCTGTGAGGATAGACGGCCGGGTGGCGATATAAAAAGAGATAACAGAGTGGGTGATAGCGCACTCTTTTACCGTCGTCCCCATATTATTCCCTACCTGCCAAGAATACCTTCTGAGTTCGTGTACGTACCCAATTAGGTCGTAACGGGATTGTAACAACAGTTTGTATTATAATGGCCTTTAATGCATTAAATTTAAATTTCCCGAATCAATTGCCATGTATATTAAGCGGTAATATTGAATATTTATCAATCAAACATGCACACATACACACGTACACACGCAACACGCACATAGATGACCGCCAGAAATTGAATGAAGCTAGTATAACAAGGTAGATTAGAAAAAATGAAGCAAACACCGTATATCGTTTAATTTAAAATCCTTTCAAATGTGATAAAAATCGTTGTGCTGTTGTAACGTCAACGCAAAAATCGCAAATATTAAAGCAAAACAACCACAATATATATTACTTTACTATATATATTTTTTTTACTTTTTACTTTACTATATATATATTACTTTAATATATAATCGCGCACAATTAACCTTTCACGTCACCTAGATGGGAGGTAATAATATCCTTTTTTTGTTACAATATCGCCGCTAAAGGGCAAGATAAAAATGTAAGGTAGTCGAAAAGTGACGAGAAGAATCCGGGAATTTTGGTTCAACACAGAAAAAAGTTCTAAAATCAATTTAAGTATTATTAATCCTGCATATGATTCAAGTGTTATTTGAGGAACAATGAAAATATGAATTAGCTGTAAAATTTAATTGAATTAGAGTTGAGACCTGGAATTTTCATTTAAGGAAATAAGTAATAAGGAGAGTCTATATTTGTTTGTATAGTAGTTTCCGTCAATTTATTGAGAAATTGCGAGCACGTAAAATCACGGGTGTTTCCGAAATGACTAATGAATCACACGGTGTTTCAGCGAAAAGTAATATTATAGATTTCCTTTTTCTATAAGAATGGGAACTTTTCCGCATAATATAATGTATTTATGAACGTAATATATTTATTAGTGTGAGAATTGATTTTTTTATTTTTTAAACTACCGTTATTTTATTTTGATTTACCTTTAGCTTATTTATATTTTTATAATTTATTATTATTATGTTATGTTTATTTCTGTTATATTTCTATTTCTGATAAATATTTGCCAAGGAATATTAGAGTAACTCTTTTACTCGGATCAAACAAATATTACTTGAACGGTAGAATTTTTCTTTCGGTGTAAAAATATGACAAATTTCTATATATGTGCTGTGATTTAGAAACGCGTCTTTGTATTCATAATGGCTAAAAATAAAGTGCAAAATTATGCATTTAATCGGAAATTCTGTGTGACTCTCCCTCTCTTTCCTCCTCATTTTAATTTCAAGACCGATGTTTTGTGCGACCTACATACTTAAACAAGGTCGCGCCGAGTGCTACGTAGATATTTATAGAAACATCAATTTTAATTGCCGCATCGCGGTGAGTAGCTGGGTAATATTGCGGGCGTCTTACGTTGCTATATTATCTTTACAGTGCGCCCGCTGAAGATGGACTTAAACGGAGTGGTTGGTCATGCCGTGCAGGGCACCAAGATCTTATTGCAGTGCACGGTACGTGCGGCACGGCCCCCCGCCAACGTGACCTGGCAGAACGGAACGAAATTCTTGAATGAAAGCAATGAAAGACTCGACATATTTAAAACGGAAATAAACGAAAACGTGAGTAAACGCCGCGATATTGTATTTACGTCTAACGCAGGTGAAGCCGTTACTTCTGCCCCAGTTCGGCTAATTTCCCTATCGCCTTAGGAATAACCATTTTTCTGTGTCTATTATTACATCGCTGTGATATTATTTACATATTACATCGCTCGTTTATTTCTCATACATAGTCATTGAATAAGACGCATTCTCATGTGCAGGCTGTTTTAACTATCGGTAACAGGCGCATTACGTACACGTGATAATGTTCTGGAAGAGAAGGGGGAAAATAAAATAATTTTTCTCTCTCCTTAGGAAGAATATTAAAGAACATAATATTAGGTTAGGTTATTTCGTCAAAGTGATATTGAGATTATATTCGTCAAAATATTATTCAATCGATTCTAGACTCTAAAGTTATGAAGTATTTATTAATTAGGACGTTATTTATACAAATGTAGCGACACTGCATAATAAATTGAAGAAAAACAAGAATGGTAATGTGGCCCCCAATTAAAATTGATTTAAAAAATTGGTTTTATTTAAAATAACATACAGTGTTTTGTTATAATGTATAAAACTTCAAAAAGGTATGAAAACTTAAAAGAGAGGTCGTATTATTAGCATTCTTAGGTCATACTAGCAAAATACCGTGCCATTAACTTTATATAACTCGAAATGTTTACCGCCTTATGAAATATTAAATAATAAACGAAACACTCAAATGTACATATATACGTATGTGATAATAACTTCAAGAAAGAAGAATTAAGAAGTATGTGTAATTAAATGCCAAAATGTATCTTGAAAACGTTTCAACATGCTCAAAAGTAAAAATGTACTATAATAAATGCCGACTATTGTGTATTGGCATGTTAGCACCATTATGTAACAGTAGACTACTAAATGAATGATAATTAATCACTAAAATTCGCCATCTTAATAGTAGAGATTCATTACTAGAAACCATAATACCACTTTCTCTTCTATTATAAAAATTCGATACAAGATTTCTTAACTCTTAGGATATTTAACAGTTATTTAAATTATCAGTGACTGTATATAACCCGAAACGTAATATTAAGTGGGTTTTGCTCTGACGAGGCTTCAGGGCGTAGTTGCCAAAGGGTCTTAAAGTTAAAACTTCGAAAAACCGTTAATATCCTCCTTTCCTGGCGAGGAGAAAGATGATTTCAGATTTCCAGCGAAAGGGATATTTCCCGGGTTCACAGCGAATGCGCCCATTACCGGACACTCTATATAGAACGGAGCGCTGAATTTTACGCCGGCATTACTGTCGTTTGCATCAAAATAAATGCGCGGGAAGAGCATGCTAGGTGGCACGCGACAATGAATAGCGCTTCGCGAAAGTTTTAATTCGGTTACTTACTCGAGATGAGAGCATACAGACTCGCAAGTTGGCGCGGTAACTCACGAAACTACCGCGTTCCGGGAAATTCTAAATCGATCGATACAGCACCTGTCGTACATTTTAATTCCCATTGAACGTTTTGCGAGGCAACAAATTTTCACGCTCGCTCGCAGGAAAAGTGGTGGAGTCGAATCGAATTTAGGATCCAGCAACGCGGACGATTTAGGGTCGATCGATGCACCTTTCGAGGCCTCTTTTCATCCGAACTATATTTAGTTTTTATTAGGTACGGTTTAGTTTTGTTTAAAACCAGGATTTCGTGTGTAAAAAGGCCACATTATCCGCGATTTATCCTTCCATTGTATCGCGCGGCTGAAATGGACGAACAATGTCTTTCTACACCGTAAAAGCTGTTAGCGCGACAGAAAAATGTCCACGAAAATGTAAAGAAGATCGAATAGAATTAAATCCCTTCGCGTCAAGCAGAATATATTTCAAAGATATTTTCTAAATCGTATTTAATAATCTCACAACCTCGTTCAATATTTTTTAAGGAGACAGTAGATACTCTTTAATTATCCTCGAAAGCAAAATTACAGAAAGACACGAAATAAAATAGTTTCGGAGAGAAAATATCAAGAAACCGTGATTTACTTTCGAGTCACGTGGCACTGTTTTGTTCTCGGCTTGTAAAAAATCAATTTCATAGTCGAGCAAGTAGCTGCGCGTCGACGGCATCGAAAAATCATTAGACCCTACTATATATACACACTCATATATATATGTGTGTGTGTATGTATATAAATATATATATATATATATATATATCGCGTCGTTGCGCTATCACATATACGTATATGCATGTAAAAGCCGTAGGCGTCACGCAGCTATCATAAATCCATTACGGAAGTATCTGAGGCTATAAAGCCGCCTGCATGCGAAATAACTGCATACGGGACCACCCATGCCTACGTGATGTAATTAGCGTAAAAAAATAAAATAGAAAGAGATATATAAACGTCGCCACGGTTAAAAGTCATAAAGTAGATGAAACAACACGATATCTTGATAACAAAGAGTTCTTTACGCATAAAAAATGTCTCGACGGACGAGACAGCAACGTCCATCGCGGTTATCTTTATCAGTTGGTTCTCTTTGTTCAACATACACATACACACACACACACGCGCGCGCGCGCGCGCGGTGCGAAGAGAGAGAGAGAGAGAGAGACCCATATACATGTATAAAAATTTTTGAAGCATCGAAATTACAGGAAAACAGTGTCGTTGAATAAAAAATAATTCTATTCAAACACGATATGTGTTTTTCTGAAAATCACAATTTTAATATGCAATAACGTACATACTGGCAGTGTTAGAAACTATCTACATTAATTATATCTAGATATATATCCGGGTACAAAGTCGTCTAATATCTATATCTGACTGATTATATATAATGGTTTATCTAATATTTAATAAGAAGAAATAATCGATTGTTTATCTGATATCTGTATCTAAGGTAAAATTCTTATCAGTTATCTAAGATATCTATTATGAAAAATTGGAAATTCTTCCTCGACACATCTGAAGCTTATCCTATACCTAAGATATAAAAAATCTGTAGTCGGATAAAAATCTCCTTTTCGTATCTATATCGAAGGAAAATATAAGTTAATTTTTTTATTTATCTGTTTATATAGATAAGTAATAGTAATTGTACCTAATCTTATTTATATATGAGAAAAGTTATATCTTTCCCAATACTGCATATCGGTAAAATAATTTAATTTTACGTGCAAACACTGATATCCAACATAATTAGACCAGCAGCATGACGAGCGTTGCGCGATAGTGCGGAATAGTAAGATAACACGTGTGACGAATCCAATTCATTTTGCGCTGTCAATTAACACTATTTGAAGAAGAACCACCACTGCGACGCGTCGGCGTAGTTAACGAATCGGCTATTTACCCGAATCTGACCCGACACGGCCGCGTCATCGCGATTATCGATTTGCCTTTCTAACATTTGCAATCCCGCAATAATCGCGATATCATAATTAGCATTGTTTACTAAGTGGCTGATTACGGGGATGCACAGCGGCGTGGCGACTAAATCCGTTAACGACGCAGTATCTGATAGCACCTAGTATCTGCATGCCGGCAAGCAATTACACGCCGCAAATTTCTGCCGATGTGAGCGTCGCGTCATAACGGGATTAACGGATCACATTTTTGAGCTTGATTACTCCCTTTCGCGCGGAGCGGGGTATTACGAACGCATAATTCGAGGTGGCTTTACAAAGGTTTCCCGGCGAGTATCGTCTCGTGTTCTCCTTCAGTGTGCTTTTACGGACTCCCTTAGTAAAGCGATCGACGCCACACAGAATGACAAATCGCTTCGCTGAAAATCAATTAATAAGTTGGTAAGAAAGATCATCTGGAGGAATGATAAAAGAGAGGAATATAAGCGCGCGACCTGCGCGATTGATTTAAAATTGAACGCCGGGGATATTATTGGCTTCATTCGCGTACAATTTTCGTACGAGCTGTAACACAACACGGAAAAGAATGGAAATAATTTCTCACGGGTTTCGCAACAATTCTACGTAAATTAATGTGTACATCTCATTTAGTATAGTATAGTTAAATATTAATTTGTATTACGTGATATATCAAATTTTACGCGACGAATACGTGTACTCGCTGGCTTTGATGCATATTCTGCAAATTTTGAGTACAGCAAAAAACATCAAATTTACATGCGTTAATTATAACTTTCTCGCGCAATGTATCCTAAATAATTAAATCGACGTTTTTCTACATATAAAATATTTTAAAAGAACAGTTCGCCAAATGAAGGTTTTATTTTTTATGCTAAATTTAGTTGAATTTTTCCTGGAAAATTTTTAAAAATTGTGTCTCAATTTTCAGCTCAGCACAAAGGATAAAAAAAATGTGGTAGATGAAATAGATTGACTGATCAAATACGTCTCTCGTGAAATGATATTTTATATTTTTTATATAACGTATATAAACACGGTGTGCAATAAACGCGTTTTCGCGGTGCACTTTAATAGAAATTCGAGCTTTCGCCGTTACGTTATCGAAACATATCCGATCAACTGACGTCTGTTCTATTTGGAATTCCTTACTGCAACTATTTCATCATAACTAAATTCTAGATTTAATTGCTTAAGGGAAACTGGATTGAACATTGTACGTTAAAAAGTACATACTGCAAATTTATACAATAACAATAACAGACAATACAAACGAGGATATATACGAGTATACATGACGCTTGATTAACGTTATCACAAATCAAAGGTGATTACGGATCCATTAAAACTGTACAAAGTTCAATATAGCGTGTGGTATGTACTATTTTTATATCTGAAATCGCTGGAGATGAAACTTTTCCGAATTTGATGTGTTCGACAATAATAAAAATATATTATAGAAACTCGATAGACAAGTCAGTTCGTAAAGGTTAAAACCGTTAAAATAATTTGAAACTGACCGGATTGTTTTTAGCAAAAATCTCGAATTTCTTCCAAGTATCTCCCAGATATAATCTATAATTTATGCGCCGCTATTATCAATTCCTGTCGCGTACAAATTAGAACGGTTTAAGTGGCGGTCAGAATTACGAGCGGAAGGATCCAGTTGGGAAATAAGCGTGCCCGTAATGCCCATCGTTTTTCATAAGTACCGTCCTAATTTAAACACTTGGCCGAGAAGCGCTTAGCAAAACTGGCGGCATAAATAATCGAAGTTCGACATTATTTCCATCGGCCGTTTAAAACCGTTCTGTTCGCAGGAGGACGGCACTTCGGAGACGATAAGTTACCTCGCTTTTACGGCGTCGGTATATGACAACGGAAAAACGTTCAAATGCTACGCCGAGAATTCGGTAACCCGTACTGAAGATCTGAAGCCAATGAAGGAAACGACCACGATCGAAGTATTATGTAAGTATTAAGAGTCGAGGTGACGAACGAGCCAGCCATTGTCGACAAGCCTTCCGCTCGAATATTTTCGAATATTTCCTCTTTACACGGTCTCGAACCTCTTCACTGTAAAAAAAAAAGAAAGAAACGCGAGAGATAGCTAAACGATAATCTCACTGCTTCGCGAGAAGTGGAGTCTGATCCGAGCGAACGTTCGGTAATTTTGCAAGGAAATTGGACCGAGTAATAGAGTTCTATGTCTTTCGTAGCGGAGAAACTGTAGTACCTGTGTAATTTTTAATCACTATAATTACGCTTAACAGCATTGTAACAGCGGCTGTTACAACAAGATTGCGTTGTAACTTAAAATACATATATTTGCATACCGCGGCAAGCATATTCTGCGTTTGCGCGAAACTGCGAGCTGCAAGGACGGTTATTAACATTTGCATGCACTTAGCCCTTATGAAGTAAATCCTTTAAATAAATAACTCCGCACATCCGTACGCCATTCATCAGCATAATGTTATGTAAATTACGTAACTTTGCAGAGAACAATCAGAAGAAGTTACCCCGCAGTCCGAAAACCCACGCTCTGTTACCGCAAAACGAAACTTAAAACGCGAAATCTAACGTGATCGCTATAATTCCGACGCGGTAGAACCAATTTCAGCAACCGGTAACTTTGCGAACCTGTTAGAAAGATACGGAAGATATTTGTAGCGGGATTGTAAATTTATTACTATCGTTTCTCTGCGAGTCCTTCCGTCCGTTTCTATCTTTCATCAAACTCGATGACCTTCCAAGCGGAATCAAGGAGATTTCTTCGAAAATAAATCGTAATATCAATAGAAAAATAAAAATAAGGATATAATTGGAGATCTCATAGAGTTCGAATTACGCTACAGAAGTCAAAGGGAAGCTGCTCAAAGGAAGCGATTGAAAATTTCGGGACGAAAAGAGGAAAGAAGTTTCATGGTCCAAGAATATTTATCATTTCACCCGTCCGATAAATATTTATGCTGCCCTTTCGAGGGAGTAGCTTTCAAATCGCACAATGTTTATACGATTTTTCCGGTCGCGTACTCCTGCAGGCTAACGTCGATACACCGTACTTAAGGGAATCGGAAATAGAGAGACAACTTCTACTGACATACCTGTGGACTTTTTCGCTACGTTTTTCGGTAACATAGTAGCGTAATACTGAAAAATATAATTTTATTTCCGTATTACCAAACGCTAGGTAGTACAAAAATAGATATCTAATATAGATATATTGCATTGTTGTAAAATATGGAAAAATTCTCAATCATTAGGGAAAAATCGATTAAGCAAAGATTGAAGAAAAAGAAAATGATTATTTTAGAGAGTATGCTACCCGTGTGAAGCAATTACTCTTTCTTAGAGTCCAATAATGTCATTACGTCAAAGTCACTTTATTGGAATATCGATCGCGTCGTACGCTTGTGATACTTCCGAGTCCAAAATGCTGATGTTGCAGCTGTGACTTTTTCTCCATTCAAGATGCGATGTCTTGATTACGCGTGCAGGGGAACACGCAAAAAGAAGACGGACGGGCTGTGTATCTCCCCTGATGTTTCCAGTTACAGCGCGAAATAGCGGAGAAACTTTCGTTTTGCAGCCAGAACGAGGACTATCCGCGGATTGGAAACGAGAAACTCCAGACATCGAGTTTGGCACGTTTCCAACGCCCCGGCTCTAGCATCGTGACAGGCCACTCTCGCGTCTACGTACTTACGAGAATTTTGTTTTATATCCCTCGTTCTGCCGGGCCGCGTTAAGTGCATAATATTGTGACCCGAGGGCGAATCGAAATTTTACATTCAATTTAAGTTTCGCGTTATCCATCTTGAACAGGAGGTAGTCGCCGAGATAAGAGGGTCCTTATGATCTTAGATATAGAAACGACAGAAGAAGTGAAGATTCTTTCTTTCATAAAAACGAATATGGATTAAAAGCGCCGTTGAGATGAGGCTAGAGATTTCAGAAAAGGTTGATTCACATTTTAGGATCCGTTTCCCATACAATGCAGACACTTGAAATATTCAACTGAATATTCATAAGTTTTATTCAATTGAGAAATCAATAAATGCTAAAATAAAAGCGTTTTAATAAGTTTTTTAGCGCGCATATAGGAGAGGTGAAGATTATTTATTCTGTACTGAATGTTCTCTATGCAAACATCAGCCACTTTTCCTTTCTTTTATTTAACTCTTTCCGACCAATCTTTCTTCTCTCTACATCTAAATTGAATGTTCATTCCTCTATACAATTTATCGTTTTATCCGCTGCAGATCCGCCGATAATTAAAATGAAGCCAAATAACTTAACGGTTAACGAGACAGACGATATTCTAATATTCTGCGATTACGAAGCGAACCCCGCTTCGCTGATAAAGGTGACATGGTGAGTAATATTTTTTTCATTGTAAAAGTGTATCAGCCTAATAAATAAATAAGTAGAGATCCTTTTAAAATTCAGTCAGTAATTAAAAGAAAAGCCAATGAGAGTTTAATCTTATTAGCATAAGTTAACTCCTCAAAGTGACGGTAATATCGTAAAATAATGAAACGCCACTTCAATTAATTAAAATAAATTGATTAAAAATGAATTAACGCAACTGGGTATCGATATACGTTTCCACTTTATTCTCCTCATTCTCTCCACATTTTCGAAAATAAATTGCCACCTTCTTTATTTGATCTCTCTCCCGATCCCTCGGGTAATGTAGGTTACGAAACAACGAAGAATTAGTATTAAACGACGACCATTACGACGGCGGAATCACAGAACAAACAGCACTCACGGTGAAAAACGCGACTCCCAGCGACATAGGTTCTTACAAATGCATCCTGGAAAACAACGCCGGTTCAACCGTTTCAGAAGACATCGTGGAAGTTTCGGTCTTTCGTATGTATCACGGACAGCCCGCATAACGACTGCCGATCGAATATGTAATACGGAGAACACAAGTCGATAAAATGCAAAGTAGCGACGCGATCTCTTACGCCGATCATAAAGCTCCGAATAATAATAAATCTGCAATCTCCGGAAGAGAGAGGAAACGGCCATTATATCCCGCCGGTGGGGGATTTCGTCTTCTCATTTCTCACGGCGTAACTTTCCAGCGCGCGGCAGTTTATTCTTTTATTAGAAAACGACAGCTTTATTGAAAGCTACGCGATTACATCGGGAATAAAGTTGGAGGGAGCGCGGCCGCGCGTGATTTATGCCGGCACGCGTATATATTCCGTTTTATCACGCAGACAAACCAGTAGTGGAGGTGATAATGGATCCGGAAACACCTGTGAACGAGGCGGACCGTCTGAACGTTTCGTTAACGTGCGAAGTCGATTCCGGCAATCCGGCCACGCTGACAGCGGTCCGCTGGTATTTGGACGGTGATCTATTGAAAGAACTTCCGGATTGCGCGAGAAACAGCACTGCCGTGACAACGACTACTGAGGAATCGTTGACATTCTGCGACATCGACCCCAGCAAGCTACTGCTGGAGGCCGTCGGCCGTTCCTTTCACGGCAACTACTCGTGCGAGGGGAGGAACGAGGCCGGCTGGGGACCAATCTCTCCGAGCACGCCTGTCGTGGTTTATTGTAAGTCTTCTTCGTCACACGTCGCTCAGCCTTATTATGCCGCGATGGAAGAAAAAGCGGCGATACGATTAACACTTATCATGTTTACGATCATAATTCGTTACGTCCGTTGCATCCGCGTCCGCGATTTTATACCGCCTCCCGGCGGTGAGCGCGAATTTTACGCGAGGGACACCCATCGTCTGCATAAAATGTTCATGTTCGTTGAAAAGAGAATTAAGCTGCACGCGCAGCTTGCCGATAGAAATTTTCTGAGGTACACCGTTGCACCGTGTCGTAAATTATAGCTGCGAGTTTCCGCGATATTTTATCCGTCAATATCGTAACCGCCGTAAGACCGCTCGCTCATTGATACCCGACGCTAATTTCAAGAGCGCCGACAATAAGTTATCGATTCAGGACTTTATCTTGCATATATATGCAACCGATACGCTTGGGCACAGTATCCTATCTTGTTACATTAATCAGATTATATTTAGCGGGCGCCGGTTTCTGCCTCTGTCTCTCTCTCTCTCTCTCTCTCATATCCTATATCCCGGAAACATTTCCGTAGATAAGCCCGGCCCTGCGTCGATATCGTACGATCCTCAGCAAGTAGTGAAGAAACAGCCATTATCCATCACCTGTTTCGTTTTGGATCCCGGACGACCGAAGGTGTCGGGATTCAAGTGGCTGCGCGGCTCGCATCGACTTCCAGACGAGAACGACGCCACCCTCGTCATCGAGTCGGTTAATTTGGAAACCGAGGCGAATTTCACATGCCTGGCTTACAACGACGCCGGTGACGGCGACCTGGCCACAACGTTTATCGACGTATCTGGTGAGCGACACATGTCAATGCACCCGAAACTACAGCCAGCAATTACTGAGTTGTGCGGCAGCATTTCAGACGCCAGTCCCAATAATGATATTTTAGAGTTGGAGCAATTTCAATCGATTTGCTTATTACATACGCGCGCTTAACACTGAGAAACACGTGTGCTCCGGTTAAAGTTACGATCGGGAATTTCGAGACACCCTGTGCCCCAATTCTGCGCGCGTCGCAGATTGCGAGTTGTTCGTCCTTCAATCTTCCTCATATTTAGCGGACGCCGGTTTCGCCCGCTTAAACACCGTAAAATATTTGGTATATCTCGCATGGAAGATTTCTTGGGATTTAATAAGGATCCAGTCTGGTAAGTCCAGTAAGTCTGATTTTCGAAAATAATTATGGATTTTAGTTGGGAAATTTCTATACAGGTGATGGTTAGAAATGTAATATTTCAAGCATACGATTCTAAGGGGGAAATATAAACAGATTCTATTTGGTCACACCCAACATTTTTCCAAAAATTATTTCTGCTTTCTATTTTGCAGTACAACTGAACAAGATGTTTGAAACACTTTAAGTATTTATAAGTATACATACTACGCGCGCACCATTAAGCGGATATCAAAGTCGATGACAAACTTGATAATCTTCAATTTTGTGATCCTCAAAATCAAGATGACAAGATACACGGTCGTGTATCGAGCCACGTGTGACCTATATATTTACACGACGACATAAGTTCAACGCAGACAAAATTCCTCGTTTGAATATAACGGTTAATCTGATGAAATTCTGGATAGGTTTAATCGATTTCTTGGGTTTCCTTATATATATATAATAAAACCATTTTTACATTTGCTCTATGTCGTTTTTTAATCGGGATCTATGCTGTATGTATGCTGTATATGAAAAAGTCTGGGAAAATTTCTATGCGGGATTTTTTGGATTTCCGTAATAAATCTACGATACTTTTTTACGCTAAATAATTCCCAGACATAACCAGTCTTAAATCAGGACATAATATGTCTTTTTAAAGACGTGTGTAAATGAGACGTCTGAAAGAGGTCTTTAAGATATCTTTTAAATGTCTTACTTACAAATGTCTTTAAGACGTTATGTGTCCCGATTTTAGACGTCACGTTGCCTGGGTTTATTCCTTTGCGCGACACTTCTCTCCTAAATACCCAATGATAAACCCTATGACACTTAATTAAGAATTGTCGCTCCTCATTAGCGGCCCCGACATTCATTAAGAAGCTGCATCCGTATCGCGGTTTTGCCTACAACTGGTCTAACGTGAGCATCATGTGTTGGGTCGAGTGCGCCCCAATCTGCAATATTTCCTGGCTGAGAAATGACGATCCCATGGACTTCTCGAAAATAAATCGATACTATGTGTCGAACGTTTATCATCCGCCTGACCCAAGGACCAACGACTTTGAGAGCATCCAATCGACTCTCGTATGGAATCTGACGGTCTGGCCGAACGGTCAGCTCGACCGTGCCGAGGATAACATCAAATTCACCTGCAAAAGCAGCAGCAACGGGATTGGCCCGGGCGTAGAGAGCAGCACTCACTTTCATGTCGAGTGTACGTTCTCCATTCTGTGCTTTTTTAGCAATGACATATCTCTGCCTGCTTATATTCGATTGCGCGACTTTGAGCGATCGGCATGGAGAAAACGCGCAACGTTCTCGTCGTAAATCATCGGGTAAAGTTTTCGGTGTTGGAAGAGTCGTACGTGTACACGTATAAAAGTTATCTAATTCAATCTCCTTTTCCATTCTCGATTTCGGCTCGTGTTAACAAAAGGCACAAAGAAGGAATGATATTACAAGAGAGAGATTCCTCCTTCATAACTTAGATTAATTAGTATTTAGTTTTATATTCGCCCGCCGGGAGTCGCGTTTTAAACAACGGAATTTTCGAAAATAATAGAATTCAGTCGAAAAGATTTACACTTAACGTCAGGAAATGATTAAAGAATAATGTCGTGACGATGTGAATTTAATTGCAATAACGTGAACTCGAAAATAAAAGATGATTAAATCTTGTTTTTCTTCTTCAAGTCCCGCCGGAAAATATCACGATCTCGAAGAAGATAATCAATGTAACGGTGGACACTATATCGGAGACAGTGGCATGCGACGCGAAGGCAAGACCTAAACCGAACTTTCGGTGGTTCCGCGAAGGATCCAACGACACCATCATGGAGGGCCACGTACTTGACTTGAAAATGCCAGTACCCCGGCGTAGCAACGGCACTTACTACTGCGAGGCGTCGAATCGTCATGGTATCCTGAATATCTCGATGGTCATGAATGTGCAATGTACGTTCCCCACTGCATCTTTAGACTTGAATCAAGTGAATACAATCTTCGAAGGAGATTCTTAAATTGAACAGTCCTAAAAATGGCGCACATGGAAAAAACGGGATATTTTCCTTCTTTCCCATCTTCGGAACATATCCTGTTTTTCTTGTATCACAACTCTTTAACGTCCTGCAGTATCTGTCTGAAAAAACACAGGATTTCATTCTCAATTCTGCTTTTTTCATGATATTATTGATTATTTCACGATAGTATCGATCGTATGCTTTTGTTGAAGTAATCTAGATCTTTCAACTACGCATTGTCGAGATGGTTTAACAATGGCATGGTGAACGTTTTTTCGTGCAGTTAAACCAGAATGCCACATAGAAAGGGAACGATTCGAGGGCAAGGATTACGTTATTTGCTGGGTCGTCGCCAATCCAAAAGAGACGAACTTCGTCTGGTCATTGAAGAACGACAACGACACGCTGGAGCAGGTTGCTGAGATGCGAAACGGACGAAGTTACATGCTGCTCGATACCTCTGTCACTAATTCCCGGACGTACGTGTGCGTCGCGAATAACACGATCGGCTATTCTACACCTTGCGAACGTGACGTAGCAGGTTAGTGGAGAAACATTTCTCATCGATTCGCTAATATCGCGTCGTTAATGTTGCAGAGAAAGATGGAAGTACTCTTGCCGATTTAATCGCTTTTTCAAACGATTCAGCGAGCTTTATTGGAAAATATTATCGCGTTTCGAAACTATTGGTCCGTATCTATAGAAACGTGGAAAATGTACTAATGCAATATAAAAACCTCTTTGTAGCGGTCGTACGGAGTTCATGAGTTCACGTTATATGATTGGAAAGTTGCTACAAGTAAAGTTTTTTCGCTATATATGTATATACCACGTGAGAGTAAATTTCCCATGTATGTACGTGTACAATAAACACAAACATCCACAATCGGGAGTGCAATATAAATTTAAATGTGTCTACGAGAAATTATTTATATGAGATAAAGATCTCGAGATTAATCCTCTGCCAGTAAAATGAAATTTTGGTGAACGCTAACGGTAAGGCTGGGTGGAATGCCATCCGCAGAACTTATTATCGTTTTTAAAGCAAAGTTATATCCTTTTAAACATAATTGCATAATAAACAATTAAGTACAAAAGTTTTAAAATTTTTAAACATTGCTTTTTAAACACTTTTTATTAGTTATGGCATATAAAAATTAGTTGACTTCAATGGCAAACCAAAAACTTGTGTTTAGAAAGTGTACACAAAAAAATTTGTCTTAAATCAAGAATAAATATTCTTATATATAAGTAAGAATACTATGATCTTCTTGGGAAGTTTTTAGTCTTGATTTGATTGAATTTCGTATTGATGCAAGTATTACTTGAACTCAATTCAAAACTAAAAATCTTCTAAGAAGATTATAATATTTTTGTCTATATATGAGAATATTTATTCTTGAATTAAGACTAACTTTTTTTTCTGTATAGGACATATCCAACTAAGACGATGGCTAAAAAGAGACTTGCCACGAGGATACTGAAAGTCCGTTTGCTTTTAAGCCACGTTTCTTATGAGTAGAAGTAAACAAAGGGAGTCCGAGTGGTTTTCCACCTTACCAAGCAGATAAACTGAGCACATTTCATTTGAAATGCGTTGTCATTAATTATTTATGCGGTGTCTCATATTTCGGACATTTAATCGATAATCGCGTCAAGATAGTGGTCTTTAATTGATCATTCGCAAATATTTAAAAAAATTCTGTTGCTTTACAGCTCACCATGGACATAAAAGTAAGTCGTGTCTACATTATCTCAGGTGTTTCGTGTATAACGTATTTTATATGTAATTTGCATACGTAACTACCATTTAACGTTCGTATTGTTGCGATATGCAATTTTCAACCGTTTATTTGTAAGTTTAATTAAAATACATCGTACCGTGTAATGTTGCGTTTAAGCGCCTCACGCTAAATGAATGAAACCGAAACAAAGACGTTATTTTCACGTGGAACTTCGACATCGCGCGTTTCCGCGTCACAATGCGAATAAATTCCAACTCCCGCGCAGAGACCAGTCGCATCAATTGTAAACGCGATACGCGGTACCTTTTTCAATTAACCTTCCTTTCTTTCACTCACTCTCTCTCTCTCTCTCTCATTTTTCCACAATTTCGACGAACATCTCGAATCAATTAACGCAGTCTCGGCGATACTCGATCGCATTTATCCATGAATCTTGCAGTACCGATGGATTACGGGCGAGAGTCGAGCGTATCGCTCTTCATCTCGCCCCGTCATGTTTATAGTATTGATGTATAAATAACGAGAAATGCCCCGCGTGCGCTATTATCCTCTATACGTAGCTTACATGTCGTTATCGATTAACGTACATCGTAACCTATCGCGTTGCAGGCCATATACCCTGGTGGCATCAGTTGGAGGGTAATCTACTCCTGATTATTATCATTGTGGCGGTGGTCATCATACTGGTACTAATACTAATTTGCGTGGCCATCTTTATCGTGTGTCGACGGAAACATAACCAAGTGAAATGTAAGTTACTCTCTAATGTATCGTGTCGTTATCGTGACGATCGTTTGCTCATCGCGGCGATTTGCATGACATAGGCTGTAAAGTGAGATTTCCTCGAGGTTCCTCGTATCGATTCGACGACTGGCGTCGTTATTTAGGTGCGCGCGAGATTGTCGTGGATTTCTAAACTTTATCGCAACGATGATTTATCTTTCGCTCGTGTATTCTCGTGAAATTAAATGTCTCCCATAATAAAGAACGGCTCGGCTTTTTAATCAACAGCGCGCAAAATACATTTCCGACGAAGCTTGTAAATGAATGACTGAGCCTCGAGGAAATCCAGTTTAGCAATCTACATAACTGTTACAACAGTTACACATATATTACGATTACACAAATGACAGAATGTATAAGTTATTTGGTATAATTAGTATAAATAATCAATATACATCATATATGTGTTCCACATATATGTACATACGTTCAGATTAACCTGAAATCGTGAATATCATTTTCTTACAACATCATTATTACGTTGTAAATTATTGTTCCACAATTTGAGGTTCACAAAAATTGCTACAATTGCCAGGACTAGGTACATGAGTTATTATTGCAATTAATAATTCTTCCTTCAGTATGCTAATGTATTCCTCCCAGTAAAGTATCTGTTGTGTTATCTGTTCGTATCCTTAGTATATACATATACATATTGTATTATTTTTGTCATGTAAAAAGTATTGTCCCAAATGATTAACACTTATAAGAGGCTTGAATATATACAAGTTCACTTTCCGTCGTCTTGAGAGTTATTAATCACTCGTGTGAAGTTTATGTTGTTTTGTGAACGAAACTTTATTTTTGATGGAAATAAAGCTTCTCCTAACAAATAACGGCTTCTTAATCGCGCTTATAATCTCGTAAGTATCATATATCAAAGTTATCTTAACTATACGTATATTTTTGAGGCATTTAAGCGTACTGATCCGTTTGTCTGATGTCCATATTTGTACGAAAGGAAAATATGATGTTTTGAAAGTCTCATTTTTTGACAGTGAAACAACTTGTTAACCCAGTCCGTGCAAACACACAGACGTAGATATATTACACATATATTGTACACACATTATATCATCTTATATAGTTTATGCTAGGTAGAATAAAAGCATGCTCACTATTTGATATCTCTGTATAAAGTAGTTAAACAATGTGAGATTTCCATTTAGATATGGAGATACATATAAACAATTTTTAAAGAGAAATATGTGCCACGCTGCTATAACGTTAATCACAACTAGTCTCGTCCATATTTGTATAATTTTTAACATCCTTCGATATATATAATTGGAAACATTATAATTTAGCAATGCAATTCTGTAAATTATTTATAATAATTGACGATAAATGTTCAAAGAAATGAGAAATGTTCAAAAATTAAACTTAAAACTACGTTAAAGATGTTATATAGATTATTCCGTTGCAAATAAGAATTAGATTGCTTTATTTAAGATGGTCATTAACTTTTCTAGCAAACCGATCGTTTTCTGATTTCCTCTGAATTAATTGAATTAACTAACGATTAACTTATAAAATTTATCTTCATTAGCAATTTATTTTATTCTAGCATATCAATGTTATTATATAAATTGCAGAATATTCAATTTCATTCTGGTAACACGATCTTTTTATGGAAAAACTAATACCTAACTGCATCGATATTGATTAGTTGCAATTCTTCTTCAATTTCAATTTGCTTCTTTATATTATAAATAACAACGTGAATGAATAGAAGGAACATATCGCTAATTTAGAATCGATAACATACATCGTCCGGCCTCTTGTATGTAATAAGATTTTAATCGGATGTACTAATCCATTTATGTGTCACGTTGTGGGCGTATAAGAATATGACAAAAGGAACGGCAGTCCATATTTTTGCGTGTGAAATACCCATTCGTAAAACAGAGTCATATACTGTTCACCGATATACACATATACACATACGCGCGCGACACACACACGTACAATATCATAAACTAAAATTAAAATTTCCGGTTATAATAAGTTTAACGATATCGTGCGTGAAGGGCATAGCGAGATCTTCTTTCAGTACCGTTGCCACTTTAAGTTAGCTGCTCTGTAATAATTGTGGCGAAGAGTAGCTATCGTATCCGCAGTACTAATTAATCGCAAGGGAGTTTTTCATCTCTCGTTCCCACCTCTGCCGTGATTACTTAAATTAATTGCGTATAATCTGGCGTTGGTGTCATGTCAGTGTAAATTTTCAAAAGCGCATGTGAACATTTGACGTTAAAGATAGGACAGATTAATTGAAGTCGAAATATAGAAGAGTTGCATTTTTGCGTAAATTTATAAGAGCCTTGCAAATCGTTTCCGGGAAGGCACGTCAGTCTGATTAAATAATTAACGGCGATCGACGTTATGGCAGCGCGAGCACGCGCTCTTCCGGTAGTTTTCACTAACACGAAACTGATTCGTTTCTGCTCTACTTTTTAATTTGGACTTGCTAAACAAAACACAGACAGTAATCGGGTGGTCGAGCTGGAGGAACGCGAGCAGTAAGTACGAACCGCAGCACACTATGTTTTTTTATTTATGTTGTTTTAGTTAAACAATCGGTCTTCATTTTCCGGCGTTGGGTCAGCTTCGCTTAGTTTGTTCGCATGTAGCGCGAAAGCGATACGATGGTGAATGGCTGCCAGCTACACGCCAAAGGTTGAACACATTTTCGCTTTATAAAACACGTAGCATTCCACTTTCCATGGAAAAATGCACGCGCTATATTGTGTGTATCGAGTTTGTATATATTCTCTATTGGTGTACACGTTATTTGTAACTTATTGTTGTTAATATCGTAATATCTTGAATTAATAACAGAGACTGAATAGCAGTATGACGGATTGGAAAAATTCTCGTTAATCTCTTAAATGAGCATCTCAAAATTTATACACACGCATTTGGCAGAAATGAATGACCACTTTAAAGCACGCTTGTTAATCGCGCGTTACTTCGTAGAAACAATCGGACGGAGAGCAGAGATACGGGAAGAATTTTGTGTATCTCGCAGGCATATCTCGAAACAGATGGTTATTGTTATTTCCATAGAAGTAATAATATTAATTTCCTCGGCATAAAAATAACAATAATAATGATTATTTACAGTAATAACAACGACATATTTCGTTACATTTAATATACAACCAGTGAAATAAAAGAGTAAAGACGCTTCAAGAACATTATATATCTAGTGAATGGTTAATCATTGTTACTGAAATTAACACTGAATTACGCCATTGGTAGGCAACAGTATGATGAAAACACGGGTTATTATAAACTTATATACCTTTTGCAGAAATCCCCATTAGTGAACTAGTCCGACACGAACACGAAACAAATATGTACGCAAATAAGCAGGAACATCGCACACATTCTCATCGCACGTGTTACCACACGTTGGTGTACCTGATGATATAATCATCAAGTTGCACGCTCGCTTTGTTCACTTTACCGAGGGCACAGCCATTCCGGACTGTTGACCGTTTGCACAATATATCAATTTCTCGTATTAATTAACAAAAGTAATATTTCACGCTTGCTGATCGATACGCACAAAGGATAGCCGGGAGGTCGGCCTCTCCCGTTTGTACGTCGTGTTGTATAGCATGCAAAGTTTGTCTCCGATCTGAAATCTCCCTGGCAGGAAGTGATCCTCTCCGTACACGCCTGAATGCACGTCCTATTGCATAATTTAACGACTACTTCCGGCTTATAATAGTTTACTGTCAACTTTGCCGCGGGCAAGGTGGGTGTAATGGCTGTTCGCGAGAGCGAACCGGGCATTACATGACGCTCTTTCGACGGCGGAGCAGTTACCTATGCGTGTACAACTCCCTGCATAATTCAGCGACGATCGCTTGTAATCGTTAATACGGCTTTGTAGCGGCCGTGCGAAGTTGCCGGGGATGTCTTCGAAATTACAAGGTAGGTGGTGGGTATAGCACGGATTAGGGTAAGCATTTCCCTATCGATCTTGAGGATCGACGGTAGCGACTGAAAAGTCGCTCGCTAGCTGCCACTATTAAATTAGCAATTTCGAAACTGTGCTAAAACGGCGCGGCGAAAGTTTAATGCGGTCCCGTTTATAAGCTATCTTGCGGCGGAGAATGCGCGATATAATTAAAGCACGTTGGTGTAAGGAGCTTTATCTCTTCTCTCCGTCGGACTATTTATGCAGATTAAAATTATCCTATTTTTCCGCCTATCTATAGGGACGCTTCTCTAGGGAGAGCATAACCTTTTGTTGTTGGTAAAGTGCTCGTCGCGCACAAGTTTCTTGTAACGTAACGCAACTCGCGTTGCGAGTTACGCGCTGCACAAAGGAGCGGTCGGGAAATATTTTTAAACGCGAACGCTCAAGGCCACTCCACTCCACGATATTTTCCGAAAGAATGCATCCGCATTTTTGCCGCTCTCGTCGCATGCGCGACCTTTGATATACAGGAGTCTATGGCCGCGCTTTATCACGCTAGATTACCAGCTGCACCGCGAGTTTACATTTAATTTAGTCCTTTCTCTTATCGATGTTAGTTCCCTCGCCCGGCGTATCTTTGTATTTCCAAGAAAATTTACAGAGAGAGAGAGCCATTTATAACGGGCGCAAGGCGGTCCGGTCGCTGTGCACACAATAAGCGTGTTGCACTTCGCAGCCTTTCGCGACTCGCAAACGAGAAGTTGGCGGCGTTCGATTTAAAGGGTCAAACAGAAAGAAAAGGAAAGGGGTGGAAATTAAAATGACGTTCCTGTTGTCCGGCGCAACGAAAGAGAGAGAGAGAGCATGTGTTTATTCTGCCGTCGTACTACGCGGCTGCGCAGTTTTATTGTCGGATCACTGAAAGCGTTCTCTTCGACAATCATATTCGTCGCGTGACGGCAAAATTGCGTGACTTACAATGACAAAAGGGACTGCACACCGTTGTTTCCTCTCGGGTCTAGGCGGATTGTAA